CCGTAGTCTACACGTCATCAAGTAGCCAGAGTTCTAAGTTCTTCGCAAGGAGAGTGAGGAATTGAGATATGAAGCAGTGTAGTTCTAGATTTGGGAGAGAGTCCTTCCTAATCGCTCACAATCACTTATAAGTAGGAATAACGACTGTTCGGGCTCACTTTCAAAAAAAATAATAAACCCTACGAAAGTTACGGTAAAAGTTACAGGAGTATAAAAGGTCTTGGAGAGTGCCAGTCATACCCTCCATTATTTCAAGGACCGAACGCTATAGTGTTATTAATGCAGGAAGTGGTAAGACAAAGTAAAAAAAAAAAAAGGTCAAGTCTTGGAATTATGAAGAAAATCGAGATATTAGATAAGCTTAATTGTGGTGCAGTTTGTGTGTTTAAAGCAGCACATCAATGGTATACAATACCGACAAGATGAAAATTAAGACACATTTTGTATATAGTTCTGTCCTCCAATTATGTCCTTAAATTTGTATTGATAAAGCCACTGGATGGCGAAACGTCTACAATAAAGATACCCAGATGTTGCACATGTGTCTAATTTTACTCTTCACGTTATTAAAGCAATTTAAAAATGAGAAGGCAGAATATTATAACAACCACTACAGCCTTCACAACCACTGACATTATAACAACCACTGCAGCCTTCACAACCACTAACATTATAACAACCACTGCAGCCTTCACAACCACTAACATTATAACAACCACTACAGCCTTCACAACCACTAACATTATAACAACCACTACAGCCTTCACAACCACTAACATTATAACAACCACTGCAGCCTTCACAACCACTAACATTATAACAACCACTGCAGCCTTCACAACCACTAACATTATAACAACCACTGCAGCCTTCACAACCACTAACATTATAACAACCACTACAGCCTTCACAACCACTAACATTATAACAACCACTGCAGCCTTCACAACCACTAACATTATAACAACCACTGCAGCCTCTACCACTAACAACAATCACTGCAGACCCCACATCCACTGTCACTATTATCATCACAATAACCACAATGCCCTACACAAATATCACCTGTATTGTCACCAAAATAACCAACCCCGTCCCAACAATCACCACCACCACAACAACTAGCACCACCACGACTACCACCACAACAACTAGCACCACCACGACTACCACCACAACAACTAGCACCACCACGACTACCACCACAACACCTATGACCTTCCTACGTGATCTAGGAGAAAGGTGAAATGCCAAGTTCAAGGGAAGAGAGAATGAAACTAGTGGTACAAACACACACACACACACACACACACACACACACACACACACACACACACACACAACACACACACACACACACACACGAGGAAAGGTTGAGGGAAATCGGACTGACGACACTGGAGGACAGAAGGGTCAGGGGAGACATGATAACGACATACAAGATACTGCGGGGAATAGACAAGGTGGACAGAGATAGGATGTTCCAGAGAGGGGACACAGGGACAAGGGGTCACAACTGGAAGCTGAAGACTCAGACGAGTCACAGGGACGTTAGGAAGTATTTCTTCAGTCATAGAGTTGTCAGGAAGTGGAATAGCCTAGCAAGGGAAGTAGTGGAGGCAGGAACCATACATAGTTTTAAGAAGAGGTATGATACAGCTCAGGAAGCAGAGAGAGAGAGAGGACCTAGTAGTGATCAGTGAAGAGGCGGGGCCAGGAGCTGAGTCTCGACCCCTGCAACCACAATTAGGTGAGTACACACACACGAAACAGTACCATGTAACAAAATAGTTACAGATTAACCCATACTGGAAAAAATATAAACAACCAAGCAAGTGAAGATACTAAAGAAACTGAACACAGCAAAGGCAGTGGGACCGACAGCGTACAAGCAGGGTTGTGACGGCCTGCGGGCCGCTAGCACAAACAACCTGGTTGAACTGGAGGGGATTAGAAGAACCTTTAAAACAGCTCGCAGGTAAACAAGAGAATGGGCGTGACAGGACTCAAGAGGCTATGGAGTAAAGCCAGCAAGCGGTAAGAGACAGGGCCGGGAGCTGAGACTCGACCCCTGCAGCCACACATAGGTGAGTAGAGGCGTAACATGTGTTGAAGACGCTAGGATCAAGGTGAAAGTGAGAGTATAAATATATAGCATGGTGATGGTAGTGACTGTATTAGTGGAGACCACGTGTTACTACTTCCCCTCACACCCTATACACATCACACACCATACACAATACACCACACACCATAGCAACATGTGGTAAGTAAGCAGCAGTTAGTGTCAACTACAAGACAAGACTGAAGCAGCTGAATGTTGCTCTACAAGACTCTAGGTGTTGGGGGATGTGATCAAGACATACACCATACATAACACCATTACCATAATGGATAATGAATAATGACATGTTTTGTAACGAGATATAGGGATGGGAACAGATCAGCTAGAAGAATAGGAGGAGATCAAATACAGGATGGAAGATCAGATTAAGTGATGAGAAACATGCCTTCATTGTAAATAAGTGGAAGCAGACAGATAACGAGGTAAACAAGTGAAGCAAACTTCATACACAGCTTCAAGAGTAGGTATGGCAGTGCTCTTTGAGGCTAACAATCATCTTGCACCCTGGAAAGATGGCACAGGTATACAAGTGTAGAAGTCTTCAAGAGGAAGCTGGACAAGTATCTTCAATAGGTGCTAGATCAACCAGGCTGTGATGGATATGTGGGTTAGAGGGCCAACAGCAGCAACAGGCTGGTTGACCAGACTAGCACCAGACAGGTCACGAACACCTGACCTGTAATATACCTGGTTTCTCAAGTTTTTCCACACCTGGCTGCCAGGTTGGGACTAGACCTGTTAACTGACTGCTTATTCAACCAGGCTGTTGCTGTTGATGACAGGTCACTCTCACAAACTTCCAATAAGAGTCAATGGAGCGAGAACCTTGGTTACATTTAAAAGTAAATTGGACAGGTACGTGAATGTGTGAGATGGACTTGCCTAGCAAGGGCCAGTAGGCCTACTGCAGTGTTCTTTCATTCTTGTGTGACATAATACATTCCAGGAGGCCTGGTTTATTTTGATTTTTGTTTAGTTAAACGGGCGAAAGCGCTAAACCTAAATTTGTCATATAGCTCCTGGGCCATGGTAAGCAATCAGGTTGGATCGAAGGCAGAGGAGGCAGAATCAAACTCCCTGAATCAAGAGCACCTCGCCGGTATCGAAGCACCTAACCAGCCTAGAGGGTGAGGCGCGGTTTGAAAGCATTTCGCGGAGGCGATGATACAGTGCCAGCAGAGATGCCAGGGACAACTGAGGAGACAGTACACAAGACACAGTACACAAGACACAGTACACAAAACAAAGAACACAGGACACAGTACACAATACACACGCCTGGTAGGCAGAGAATGTGTGGCAGCAGAGGGTAAGTGCTTAGTGCCACGAGGCAGGCACGGTGCCAACCACCATCCACACTACTACTATCATTACTATGGCACTCCACTTCCCCGCTCTCAATTCCCCCTATCTGGCACCTAACACCCCATACCATTCCCCCTACCTGGCACCTAACACCCCACACCATTACCCCTGCCTGCACCTCACACCACTACCCCATCCTACCCCATCTTCACCTAACCAAATCTCATACACCTTAATTCATGGTTTTAAGCTCTTTATAGTTCTCTCTCTCTCTCTCTCTCTCTCCTTCCCCTCATTCTCTCTTCACACCTCTTTCTCTCTCTCTCTCTCCGAAAAGGCAACAAAGCACGCTCATTAAGTAACAAACCATACGAAGAAACCTTATAATACCAACTTGTTCTAGGAAACAGGAGCTACGAGATGACCTCATTGACTTGAAGACATGATTAGCAGCATGATACTACCGGACAACACAGCGGTAGTACGCCGTGGCAGGCGTGTAACACAAATGTGCAGGTTTTTTGACAGAATTACAGAACTTTGGAAATTTCTACTCCTCAAGTTGTTACCGCAAAAATATCCAGTTTTTTTTAAGACCGTGAAGAAACTTCTCATGTGTAGGATTTACAACGATGACCGTCTATGACATGTCAGCGGTGTAGCAACATAGTGACAGCAAGAGTGGTAAGTGCTAGTAGTAGCAGCGCAGAATAACATTAGTAGTGAGTAGTAATTTTTGTAGTAGTTAGAAATAGTAGATTTAGTAGAAGTGTTAGTAGTATAAGTAGTAGTATTAAGTAGTATCTAGTGGTAGCAGTAGTAGTTTAGTAGTAGTAAAGTAGTTTGTAAGTAGTGTATTAGTGTAGAAGTGTTAGTAGCAGTAGTGGTTGTAGTAGCAGTAGTGGTTGTAGTAGCAGTAGTGGTTGTAGTAGCAGTAGTGGTTGTAGTAGCAGTAGTGGTTGTAGTAGCAGTAGTGGTTGTAGAGTAGTGGTTGTAGTAGAGTAGTGGTTGTAGTAGCAGTAGTGGTTGTTTAGCAGTAGTGGTTGTTAGCAGTAGTGGTTGTCAAAGTAATTGTTTTAAGCCGGTAGGTGTTGTGATGCAAGAAAGAGCCTTGTACATAGCTGGTAGTGAAGCAGTAGTAGTAGTATTAGTAATACACTTGTGGTAGTTGTAGTCCATACCTTCCATCCATGTTTTCCTATACAGTGTCCATGGCTGGTTCTCTAATGTATCGTGACAACAACCTTTACCCCTATCCTTCCCCGTTACACGCCGGTAGTGTATCAGAAGTGAAGGACAAGAAAAGAGCCTTTTGCTATACTATCCTTGCATCAAGTATGTAGCTTCGATGTGGACTGCAAGCTTTCATATTATATATATATATATATATATATATATTATATATATATATATATATATATATATATATAATATATATATTATATATATATTATATATATATCTCTCTTCTCTCTCTCTCTCTCTCTCTCTTCTCTCTCTCTCTCTCTCCTCTTCTCTCTCTCTCTTCTCTATGAACTACAAAAGAGGCAAAAGTCACAGAAATACTCACGCATCTTGCAGAATTTCGCAGGGTCCTTCACCTCCTTCTAGTGGAGGACTCTTCATAGTGGTGGTGGTGGTGGTGAAGGAGGTGGTTCTGGACGAGGGAGTACTGGTGGTGATAAAGGTAGTGGTGGTGGTGGTGGTGTTAAAGGTGGTGTTTGAAGGAAGGAGTATGTCTCGTGGTCACCTCATCTTCCAGGATGTGGCAGCCACAGTCTCACACACACACACACGCTCAGGTATCTTCTTAAAGGCCGGGGAATGACTTGCCTCACATCCCTGGAAATCGCAATAATAAGCACTACTCGGCACCAGCGTGGCGTCCTCAACTGTTTAATGTTAACTCTAGTTATCTATTTCATTGTTTTTCCTTCTTCTAAACCTTAACTGATTTTTTTTTTTTTGTGATAGAAACCATAACATAAATGTAATGCTCTTGGTTTCACAGCACTAAGATCCCACCACTAATCTGGGTTTCACAGCACTAAGATCCCATGCTAGTCTTGGTTTCACAGCACTAAAGGTCCCACCACTAGTCTTCACTGCATAACAAAGTTCACAAAAACGGTTCAAGTTCCGCATTACTCTTCACTGCAACACCGAAAGTTTCTGCCACACACAATTTAAGTTAGAGTTCTTGCAGTATAACTTATCGGCACGTTTCTTACTGCACAAACTGAAGTCCCTCGTGCCTCGGCTCTCTCCTGCAACACTGTTGCCATCATCACAACAAAAACATTAGTCTACCACATGAGGAAAAAAAACATTCCATATTCCTGTTGTTCCAATACATGGTTGAAAACATCTGTTGTTCTTGTGCTCAATTACATTCTTAATAACAACTGTAGTTCTTGTGTTCCATTACGTCCTCAAAATAATTGTTGTTCAGTTTGCATTGCCTTACTTCCTCTGTATAAATATAATCTGAAATAAAACACCAGAATTGTATTAAGTTATACATTACAGTATTATTATTATTATGTTATTCACGTGGGAGCGCTAAACATGTAGGGGTTATATAACGCCTGTGCAGGCATTCAGGTTTGATCCATGAGGGGATATAAATATATATAGTTTCGTTGTACATGCCGTACATTAAATTTATAATGATCTCTCTCTCTCTCTCTCTCTCTCTCTCTATCACACACACACACACACACACACACACACACACACACACACACACACACACACACACACACACACACACACACACACACACACACAAACCTTTGCCTTCAAACATTTGCTTAACTCTTAACATATTTATTTAAGTCTGGGTCATGTGTATCTCAGATGTTGGACTGTCTCTCCGTCCTGATCTTCTTGTTATTAACAGAGACAAAATGTTAAGTTTGTCTCAGGCTTCAGCAAGTCTGAGTGTCTGCCTGAACCAGCACTCTCATGTCTGCAGCTAGTGACCACGTCTGCTGGCAGAATCTAGCACTCTGCTGTCTGGAGCCAGTGACCACGTCTGCTTGCACGTCTGCTGGTATTTCGTTCATCTGAGAGTAAGTTTGCCGACACACACAACTCAGAGCCACAGAGTTGTTAGGAAGTGGAATAGTCTGGCAAGCGATGTAGTGGGGGCAGGAACTATACATAGTTTTAAGACGAGGTATGATAAAGCTCATGGAGCAGGGAGAGGGAGGACCCAGTAGCGATCAGTGAAGAGGCGGGGCCAGGAGCTGTGAATCGACCCCTGCAACCACAATTAGGTGAGTACAATTAGGTGAGTACAAGCGCCTTAATACAGTATGTAACATCACATGAAAATATTGGTATCACCCTTGTAAGGTGAAGACACGTAAATGTGTCTGTTGTTTAGCAGAGAGAGGATCGAGTCTCACACACTCTTGAAATTAATGACCCATATGGGCTATGTGCTTCACATAAATTTATTCCAAGCCTTAAAGAAACTCTGACCCTAGTTTTAGCCTAATGAAAATCCTACTCAAGCTTCCTGTGGAGAAAGACTTTTGTACAGTTCAGAACATTTATTAAAGGAAATGTTTCGCCAAGAATGGCGAAACGTTTCCTTTAATAAATGTCCTGAATTGTACATAAGTGTCTTTTTCCACATCTTGTCCGTATCACCATATCATTTCCTCATCAAGCTTTCTGTTGATAGGATGATCAACTAGGCTGTTGGTATTAGCGGCCCACTGGTCCACACAGACATAATGTGGAGAAAATTCTCCAGTAAACAGGGTATCTCTCAGCCCTCTGAGGGACTTAGCCCTCCCGGAAGGGGCTAGTGGACTCTTCCTTCCTCGAAAACAGCTTGATTAAACCCAAATGTATGTACCACAGCATCATGAGGCACTCTTTCATCTTGCTAGAGTTCTTGATCAACTACACAGTAAGGGTTAAACGAGTAATTACTTTTTTCTCCATAGCAGGAAAATTAAGAGAAAACCTGTGCCCCACTTTATCTACATGTTGGGACTATTAGGAATTCTAGTTTATAGCTAGATAACAAGAAATCTACCCTCTTGTATTGAATA